TATGGACTAAAACAAGCTCCAAGAGCTTGGTATGAAAGATTCTCAAAGTTTTTAATTGAAAAAGTGTATATTAGAGGAAGTATTAATAAAACATTGTTTATTAAGAAATGCTTGAATGATTTAATTATAGTTCAAATTTATGTGGATGATATTGAATTTGGTCCTACTAATGAGGCTTTGTGCAAGAACTTTGATGAAGAAATGTACGATGAATTTGAGATGAGCATGACAGGTAAACTGAAATTCTTTCTTGGCCTTCAAATCAAACAATGCAAAGATGGCATCTTTATTGATCAAGAAAGATATATTGAAGACATGATGAAAAAGTTTGATATGCTAAAGTTGAAACCAATATGCACACCAATGAGTCCCACTACCAAACTTGATACTAAGGAGAGAAGAAAAAGTGTTGATCTAAAGCTTTATAGAGGTATGATTGGATCTTTGCTTTATTTAACTGCTTGCAGACCTAATATTCAATTTAATGTATGCTTGTGTGCACGATTTCAATCTCAACCCAAAGAGTCACACTTAACTATTGTAAAAAAAATCTTTAGGTACCTTTTAGACACACAAAACTTAAGATTATGGTATCCTAGAAGAACATTCTTCAATCTCATTGGATATTCAGATGCAGATTTTGCTAGAAGCAAACTAGATAGAAATAGCACTAGTGGTACATATCAGTTTCTAGGAGATATGCTTGTGTCCTTGTCAAGTAAGATATAAAACTCTATTGTACTCTCCACAGCTGAAGCTGAATGTATTACCTTAGGTAGTTGTTATTCTCATATTTTATGGATTAAACAACAATTAAAAGATTTTGGAGTAACCATGCATAATGTACCAATATTTTGTGATAACATAAGTGCAATCAATATCTCAAAAAATCCTGTTCAGCACTCAAGAACAAAGCACATTGAGATCGGACATCATTTTGTTAGAGACCATGTGCTTAAGGGAGATATTAAAATTGAGTTTGTCAACACCTTGCATCAATTGGCTGATGTATTACCAAACCCTTAAATAATAAAAGATTCTATGAAATTAGGAGAAATTTAAGAATGGCTAGTATTCAAGAGCTTTAAATAAATTTTTATGCATTTATCTTATAACACAGTGTACACTTAGTTGATTAAAAGCATCATTTAACCAACTAAAAGCATTCTGTTTCTTTTAATGAAAAACATAATCAGACAAGGGTAAAACTTGGTCATTTAAGAAGCCTAAATAAAAATAATAAAATTTAAAGAAATAGAGGCAGTTTATAGGGTGAAATAAAAAATCCTTAATAGGAAAATGAAATGGGAGGCAAAACTTTGAATTTTGAAAGAAAAAGAAATTCACCACATTTAAAAAATGGGAGTTTGACAATTTTAAAGAAAATTAACCTCTCTCAAGTCATTCTCCCTTCATTCTCTCTCATTTGAAACTGATCCCCTAAAACCAAACTTCCCTTTCTCAAACTCTCCAAACCCTAGAGCTGAGCCAAACAAAACCTATGGCTAAATCCTCTCTACCTAAAGATATCTTGAAAAAGGAAAAAGGTAAACGGCCTATGAAAGCAAGTCCACCCTCTGAAATTCAAAAAAAGAAGAAGAAACATGAGTCAGCTTCGGTGATTGAGAAAACTGGGAAGAAACTGAAAGAAAAAGAATAGAAATCAGGGGAAAAGAAGATTCATGAGGATAGATGTAGGAAAATTGAAAATGTTCATATTTTTTATGGGAAATACATAGACTGGGACAGCTTTAATGAAGTTCCTGAAATTAAGGACGGTATGTCGGATTATTTGGAAGAATTAAAATTGAAGAAATTGAGTGTGTTCAAGAACAGAATCTATAGTACTAGCCTTGTAAAGGAATTATATGCTAGTATTGCACTAGATGAGAATGAACATGATGATCCTGAAGAATTTGTGGAAAATGGTCTGAATGTTTTTTTAAATGGAAAAGAATTTGTAGTCATAGCCACTGATTTGGGAAATCTGCTCCATGCAGAGTGCAATGAGGGAGAGTTTAAAATTCCTAAGGATTATGATCCCTCATCCCTGTGGGAGATAATCACAAGGGAAAAGGAGAGATAATCTTCTAAAAGCTATACAAGCCTTATTAAAAGTCCAAAAATCAAGATCCTACACTATTTTATAGCTACATCAATCCATGGAAGAAGCAAAAGCTTTAGTTACGTAAGCCTTCAAGATATGTGGCTTATGGAGCATGCTTTAAATGGCACTCCTCTCAATTTAAAAAGATTCATGATAGAGAGAATTAAAGGAATTTGCCAGGTTGACAAAGTAAACTTGGCTTCTGGAAATTTGATCACATCTCTTGTCAGGAAAAGGGGGATTTAGGCCAACAGATATGAGATGGATCAGGTGAAGAGTAAAGATCAGACCATTTATCTGGGAAGCCTGCCAAAGATGGGATACAAAATGTATGGAGAAAAGTTTTTCAAGACTTCCAGGGATACTCAAAAGGATGAGCAAGCCACCCCTATTCAGAGAACAACAACTCCCTCACAGAATTCAAATGAAATGATTCTGAACATACTGATGAGAATTGATGAGAAACTCACTGACCAGTATGCAAGAATTGAGAAAATTGAAGAAAATCTGCAAGACCTAGGAAATTTAATGAAAGACAAAAAGAAATCACCTTCTAGTCCTACACCTGAACATACTCCTGCAGCACCAAGTCTAACTTCAACAGGCCAAGCTAGTGAAAATTCTGATTTCCAAGCTGAAGATAATGCACCAGAATCTGGTCTTGTGAGAAAATCACCCACCCCTAAACCTGAAAATGAAGAAAAATCCAATGAAGGGATTGAAATAGTTGGATCCTTTAACGACAACTCACCACTACATGATGAACCACAGGTAGAGAAACCACCTCCTACTAACTTTGAAGAAATTTTAATCAGGAATGTCTTCCACCAAATGGTCAAAGATGAATAAGTAGAAAAAGAAATAGCAAAGAACAAAGCTTAGAAGTTAGCGTCAGTAAGGGATTCCCTTGAATCGGTTCACATCACCAAAGAAAGTGAACTTGCTAATAAAGAACAAGGACAGGCAGCTGCATCCACCAAAGCTAAATCCCAACCAATTGGTAAAGGTAGAAAAACCATGGCCACCAAGACAAAGTTCATCAAGAGGAGAAAATCCTCCAGATTGGCTGACTAAACCAAACCACTAGTCAAAACTTCCACTTAGGATCCAATACAAGTTTTAGACACATCCCTTGCTAAATCCTCATCACACAAAGCCTCACTTATGTCTTCTCCAAAACCCCTCAGTGTCCATTATGGAACAGATGAATCAACTCCTTCAGACTCCTCTTAAGTCTAGACCTTGGTGTTCAATTTTTATGATAATGACAAAAAGGGGGAGATAGGTTTTGGTAAAGCAACCTTAGAGGGAAAAAGTAGAAGGAATCTAGGGAAGATAAGTTAGGATAGAATTAATTTAAGGGTAATTTAAGAACTTAATTCTGTTAATGCTGGGCTGCTTATATTTATGGCTATTTATGTTTTGGACAATATGTTACTTTAATTGCTGATGGATTGTTGATGATATCTGAATGCTAAGAACTTATTTCTGTTATGGCTTTATGTTTAATGGATTTTTGGAATAGATGTAGATTATTGATAATATGCTGGTGACAATTTGTTACAATGTGAATGATATTTTGTCACTTATTACTGATGTCTTGTAAGCTTGCATGAAGATAATCTATTAAAATGTCTAAATTTATGCCTGTTACTTTCTCTAAAAGATAGATAAAAAGTTGTTGATCTGTTAGGTTGGACATAACATAACTTGAAAAGATCATGCATACACTAAGGGGGAGCACACACTCAAAGGGAGAAATCCTCATCTTGTGCAGAACAAACAGAACTAATAGACATTGTACCTTTAATCAAGGAATGCTTTGTCATCATCAAAAAAGGGGAGATTAGTTGGCTCCAATAGTTTTTGATGATAATAAAACATTCCCATTTATTTATGTCTAACTCTTCTACTTGAGTGTGCAGGACAAAAAAGTATATTAATCAATAAATTAATTATTCAAAAGTAAATATCAAAACTTATAAGAATAAAGAGCTATAATTGAGCAATAAAACAAAAACCTTTTAGTCTGATAATCAAGGGAGTTAGTTGGATAAAATTCAAAAGTGAAGTTAACGAGTTCAAGCAGATTGTAAGATAAAGAACATTTAGTTGACCTAGAGACATTGTTAGTTGACTAAGAGCTTACTACTAGAAACTGGGTTCAAAGACAAAAAATGACTTAATCGACTAAAAAGCATATTAATCGTCTAAGAGCATTCTATCTGAAAATTTGAATTTGAATGCTAAAAGAAAAATTAATGGCTAGAACTATCTCTAAACTATTTCCAACTATCTGAATATGTCTAACACCCATCAAAATTGATTTTTCAAGTATATAAGGCACTCCCAACGATTATGAATAAGTTTTTGAAGGCTTTCAAGAACAAAAGAGCTGAAAAATTGCAAAAACTCTCTCCATTCTTTTTGCACTTCACTTCGATCCTTCTAATAGAAGTAAGCACTTCACTTTATACCATTCAGATTAGGTTAGTGATAATAGGTACTTCTTTATTTCTATTCTCCTTGATTACTCAAAGTGTGTGAGTCACTTTGAGGAGATTGATCAAGCTTGGGTTAGCTTGATTGAGTGTATAAGTTCTAACTGAGCCTATGAAAGTTAGTTTTAGGTTTTGGTTGATCTCGAGAAAAACCATTGTTAATGGTTGTGGCTGAGTCTATAAAAGCCATTGTAAAAGCTTGGTGGAAGCTTGGGAATTTCACCGCTTATAGTGATTTGGTTTGGAAAATCCTTGGTTGAATAATCAAGGTAGTGGATGTAGGTTTTTGACCAAACCACTATAAATTTTTGTGTATTGTCTACTCTGTTTTATCTTTCATTTTCATTCTTTGTTAAATCATTCCTTCATCTTGCATCGAACTTCTCATCATAGACTTTTTACTTGCTCCCAATTCGAAATCAAGTTTAGTGAGAGCTAAAAAGTGCTTTTCACCTCCCCTCTAGCACATTTATTTTAGACCAACAATATAATCCTCCTTCATGACTAATTTCAATAACAGATAAAATATTAATATTTTAATATTATTTTATTAATAAAATATTATTTTATTTCAAAATTCTCCACTTATCTATTCAGGTCTCAAAGTGTCTCACGTTATCCTATCCACTTCCAAATCACCTTTTAACTCACTAATTCATCCTCGATAAAAATATTATTATTTAATAATTTAATTTTTACGTGTAGAGTATTCCATTTTAAAATATTTCGTTCATCCTTCGTCGCTCTTTGGCACTTAATTTTACATCAATTGACCGTTTGTCTTACCAATAAGGTCTCATTGGCTTCCATACGAGGGTACGGGGTCTTACATAGCTTATGTCCCAAACCATGAACAAAATCTTGGAGAGCATTCTTCTGTTCCTCTATTACTGGACGTTTTGCTTGCAATTATTCATTTTCCTTTTGTAGCACATTAAGCTTAACAATCATTGATTCATAAGTACTACTTAGTCCATCAAACATGTCTTTCCACACCTCTTTTTCTGTATGCAATTTTCTAACCTTCTTTTTATCTTCCTTGGCTTCACTTTTCAATTTTTCCATTTTTCTCTTGAATTCTTCATTATCTTGTTTCAATCTATTCCTCTCAACCAGCTATAAATTGGTGAGAAGGACATCTCAAGAGTTTGAACAAATAAAATCAGATAAGGGAGGCAACATGATGTTTTTAATTCTACGTTCATGCCATACCAAATATTCTAGTGTAACCTTATCACTGAATCTTCTTAATTTTATTCTACTAACTTGTTTTTATGCCTTAACAATCCTTTCAACTTTCTTTGATAACCTTGGTTCGCTATAAAAAAAACTCAATTTGATCAAGCTTATGAGTCATTGGGACAAATTGTTTAGACCATATTTGCCTCCGTACCATAATTAGGGCATAAATAATTGCCCCCCATAATTCCCAAAAAGGAACTAACATTTCATTTCTACAACTATGCAACATTAGTTGAAGTGACATCCTGATGCTTTCTGTACAACTTGTTGTCTCGTAAGGCTTCATCATTGTTTGGATTTTGGTTCTGGCCATTCAATTTCACAAATTTCTCTAATAAGAATACTGGTGGAGAGATATGGTGCTTAGAACTTACTCTTTTCACACTCGAAATGGCTTTTAATCCATACAGGTAATAATTGTGAACATCTAATCAAATGCCCCTTTCCATTTCTCCAACAATAGCTTAGTGATCTAAAAGTCTATGCTATAATAGCTAATGATGGATTAATTTTATTTTCAACCTGCTCAAAGAAATCCACCACTGTTACCTCGATATGTCCGAAAACCTTTGGAAAGATACCCATTCCATAGATTTCTAATGCCATAATACTCATGCGTGCTTCATCTTTTAAAAGCTTTAAGATGCCACTATGAAGAAACTCCCATGGAATACAATACTATCTACTTTTTGTCTAACATTCATGTCAACTTCTTGCACACTAATTCTCATGATTTTTTCAATCTTTTTGAGATAACTTGTCCTTTGTCATCTCAAGTAATTCTTGTCTACACTTGGAAGGTGCATGCAAAGTAAAGTTAATTATTCTTCAATTGTTAGCTTCATATCTACTTCATTAAAGACAAAACATCTATATAAGTGATCCCAAAATTGAATGATGGCTTCAATCATCTGGTCATCAATAGGTATGTGAGGGAGTGATGCAATATGTCCATACTTCTTCTCAAATTCTTATTATTTAGATGCTCCCCACTGATCCCAAATGTTGATCAAATCTATAATCTCGTTCTACTAGAGATCAATATGAATATGCTCAGGAAGGTTAGAGGCATATCCCTCTTTGAAACAATCACCCTCTACATGCCAAATCTGTTATGATAGAGTCTTAATGTGCAAGTCATCTTCACATATGACAGGGGTGGATATTACGCAAAGTAGTTGCTTTATGGATGTAATTGGGGTATTTTTTGCCATACTCTATTACATAGAAAATGCCTTTATGTGAAAAATTATGTTAATGCATAATCATGAAACAATCATAATACAAGGTTCAATAAGTATTTACATGGCAAAAAACATCCCTTTATATGTACCTACATGGGTGTTCTTTTATGAGTTTGGCAAAGCTCTACCTTGGCTTAGTCTTTTATGGCTTTTTATATGCTGGGCATAGTTTCACACAAAGCTAAAGGTTCCCAAATTGCTCCTTAATGTCATTCACTTGGGACTAGTAATGCACCTAATCCTCACCTATTACAGGCTTCCAATGGAAAGAATTCACTTTAAGTGGAAGTATTTCATGTGCCCACATGAAGGTTATCACCTCACAAGATGAGAGCACTCTACTTTCTCCTAAATAAGACAAAGCTTGGGTATAAAGCTCATGCACATATGCAAAAATGTAGTGTGTGCAAAGAGACGTACAAAATTTTTTATCATTCATAAATAATTAAAAATATACACAATCAAAGTAAACAAAGCAATGTTTGATTAAGGAAAATGAATTAGAATATCAAATAAAAATTAACTAGTGAAGACTTAAGATGTCACATATTTAATTATTAGCTTAGCTTCCTAATTCCCTAGTGGAGTCACCAAGCTATCATAGCATATGAGTCTTAGAACTCAGTCATTAGACACAAAAAGAGTCATCATCAATCTTTTTTGTTTTAGTGTGATTGACCACATAATTGAATCTATTTTCCTAATGAGGTCTTAAGCTTAACTTAAGTTCATTAAAAAAAATAGGTTCTAATCTATGAAACTGATTAGGTTCAAAAGTACAATTACATGTGAGGAAGGAATTAGCAGCCTCACAAAGCCCATTCAAAAAGGTACTTAATTAATTATGTGTTTCCTTTATAGC